TTAATGCGGTCCAATGGAAGAAGCTACTGTGGCGCTCTAGTCTAGAGATGAGAATATTCATATGTGACCAGACTTGAACTTTATACGATTGCAATCGATATGCCGGCGTAAAATACCGTCTCATCCTTTTGGCACTCTTAACTTTTTAGAGGCTTTTTCTTAGCTTTTTCCTCCAAATAACTATAAAACTGGACATGAATATGTCAACGCCAAGAATCCCAGACTTATCAAGGGGTGTGTCTTGAAACTGGAGAGATACGACAAATAGCGCTTTTATAATAATTTGATGGATTAGTTAAAATAAGTAAATAAAAATGTATTTTAGTAAGATGATTATACTGGTATAATCTGTTGTTCCTTCAGTTAAGAAACAACAAATGTTAAATATTTACTTCCCCGTTTCAGATATAATAAGTCTGCTCTGTTCTGTGTAAGTTATTCTGATATACTTAGACTTTATATTAATAAAAAAATATTATAACAAGTCTGATTAAAAAAATAGGCATTGAAAAGTCTGCTCTATCAAATGACCCGTGTCTTCTTACTTCCATGTTATGAACCGCATCTGAACACACTTGTGTCATAAAAGAATCGACTAGTATAAAAAGGACCCGACCAAATCTGCTGGGATCAAAAAATATAGCAATGTATTTAGCTTTGATTTTATCGTCTTATTATTGTGCTATATCGATGCCCCCTAGCAATAAAACAAAACGGGGGTTTGGAAAACTGTTCTATTAGATGTATGATCTTGATTTCCTTACTATTAACATTTAATAATTTAAAACTACCAACGTAATTTTAAATTATGTAATGGGGTGAAATAAGATTAAAAATATATGTGTAATTGTTATTTTAAATAAGGTAGCTAGAGATATGAATCAATGATTGCTTTCAATTATGGTGATCGCAGTTACTACCTATATTATAATTAGTTAGTACCTATATTATATTTGAGCATAATTTGAATTACCACGATTCGCCAAATTAAATAAACCAATTAATTTCATTAGTTAATGATGTTTACTGACACAAACAGGTTAAGCAGTATGAAATTAAAATGGATATACAATTTTTGGTTTTAGTCGGATTTAAATTTGTAATCATAAGTTTTAGGAGTTGGTACGGGGCTGACATTGATTGTTCTCTCTTTTATTTATTTATTTATTTATAGGATTACCAATATAAGATACAGCTAAACATTTTAGTACAATACATTATATTAGATTAAATCTAATTGTTCTTACATTTATAGGCAACCACAGCATTTAAATAAATTTAAATTTATAATTTTTTTTACATATATTTTTTATATCATTTCATTGTTTCATATCATTTTGTTATCTAAAAAATCGGATAACCTGGATAATACAAATAAACTATATAATTTATTAAAATAAAACATTATTACAGTATTTGGTATAAACACTATGCTTATCTAGATACCGGTGATAGATATCGATGATCACAAAATCTCATCTAAGTTTATAGGATGAAAGTTGTACAGTAATTTTCTTGACTCCGAAATCTAGTCTGAGAACATAGAGATGTTGAACTTACACGCCGAAGGTTTCGTACATAAATATAAGATAAAATGATCTTTATTGAATTTTTCATATGCAATATACGCCTGAGCCGACAATTTATATTATTATTTATAACAATATGCAAAACTATTTCAAATTTAAAATCGATGGCATTAATAGTCGCTGAGATTGTTGTGACAGATAGATTGTCGGGCGAATGGATAAGTCATACTATTAAGGTTTCTGTGTACCTTCTTGGCGCGAAACTCTAAAAATATTCATTTTTAAGAGAAAATTAATAATTATGAATGTAGTGGATACGATAGTACTCGCACAATATGAACTTAATTATGTTTTTTTTAAATGTGGATATAAATTAAAAGTAAATAATAAAATAAAAAAAATAAAACTATTTCAGGCAGAGATACGAGTAAATGCTTGTACACAGTTTATATTAGTGCAAAGGAACTTATCATGGACATTAAAGTCCAAAAGATGTAGGGTCGAAATCAAAATTGTTTCAAGACATCGATAAACGTAGGTAGGTTCAGTGTCAACTTTATGATATGAAATAATTAAAATCCTAGTTTAGTAGTAGATAATAAACATTTAATAAATATATGTTTTATGCAGATTTATTATTATTATTATTTCAGCCATTAACTACGCCACTGCTGAACATAAGCTTTCCCTATAAGGGGAGTTTTGCTAGTAGTTGCCATGCTGGCAGGCGAGTTGCTTTTAAGTTAAGTTTTTAGAGATGTTTTAAGAGGGACGCTGCAGCCCATCCCTCGCCTTAGTCGCCTGTTACGACATCCATGGGAAAGAAAGAGGTGGCCTATTCTATGCCGAGGTACACATTTATTATTAATTTTATGTATATGGCCAATAATTATTGGTGTAACGTTTGCAATATTACAATATAACAGCCTTATCAAAATATAACTAATCCTAAATAAAGGAATAAAAATAAATACCAGTTAATCTACAAAATTAAGTTTTAAACACAAAAATAATATAAAATTTTATTACGAAGTTGAATGTACGATAAAAGCTTATAATGTTAGTTGCAGTCAGCAGTCGGTAGACATTTTCAAGATATGGCATTATGTAACATGAAGTTTTCATCTTGACGTTGAACTTATTATCACTAAAGATCGCATTTTCAAGTGACATCTATTTTCTGATCTTTCAAATTCAAACTATATGGACTCTCTTCTTTTACATATAATCTCTATAGAATAGTGATAAATGTGTGTAGTAGGTATGGGTAATATGAATACCGATCCGATATCTATATATTGGGTTTTGCTGGACAATGACAGAGGAAACAAGGTCCATCACCTATATCGTTCGAAATTATATTTGAATATGTTAAACGTCTGTTATCCAATGTCATTTTTTGGATAACAGACTTAATATATTCGTAATTGAACCAGTATATAGATATTGTGACTAAAATATATAGGTTTTGCTATATATTGTCCACTCCTAGTGTGTATTTAGGGATTAATGCATTTATAAACTACGGAGTGTCAACGGCGGCTTTTAATTTAGGATTTAATCCATCTGTGTACCAATTTCATTCAAATCCATCCGTCCATTAAAAGCGTTACTGAATAACAAACATCCAACCATGTGAAACTTTACAGACTTTTACATTTATAACATTACAGTCTGCACACATGCAGTACAGTGTTACTTATTAATTCATCGATTGACCTAAAAAGTTTCTTTAAATAACAATTGAATTGTATCAGTGACCTCATCTATCCAACATTATAAGTACATCAAATTGTTATGAATGAAATATTATTTTAAAACAACTTATATAATTTTTTGTTTTATAATTTAGCAAATCATCAAATTACGAATAAAAACTCATTCATCGTCACCTTTGATCAGGTGAGATCGAGGTCAAATTATCAGAGTCAAAGGGACCATCATGAACTCAATAAAACAATTCTCATTGTAATGTCCACTGTTGAACACAAGCCTCCCTCTTAGGAGATTTTGCTAGTAATTACCACGCTTGGCAGGTGAATTGGCAACCGCAGTTAGGCTCTTAGTGATGTTTTAAGAGGGATGCTGTTGCCCATCCCTCAATCATTAAGTTCTCTTAGTTGTCTCTTACGACACCTACGGGAAAGGAAGGGATGGTCCATTCTATGCCAACTGAATAAAAATTGATTTATGGTAGAAATTGAAAGAATACAAATTCACTTTTATGTAGAATATCATCATCATCATCATCATATCAGCCTTTAATTCTCTACTGCTGAATATAAGCCCCCCTTGAGGGGTTTTTGCCAGTAGTTGCCACACTTGACAGGCGCATTGGCAACCGCAGTTAGGCTATGGAGATGTTTTAAGAGGCACGCTGCTGTTTATCCCTCTTCCTCTTTTAGTCGCCTCTTGCGACACTCACAGGAAAGGAAAGGATGGCCTATTTTAAGCCGGGAGCACACGGTAAATGCAGAATATAAAGGTGTATAAGTATATATAACTACTAGCTAATTCGGTAAACGTTTTTCTGCCGTATAAATAAATTTTCTGGATACCTTAATCACCTAGCGGTGAAATCTACTTGACGACACATTCTCATACTTACCAAATAAAAAAATATATAAATATCGGTTTAGTCGTTTCGGAATTTGACCACGGATACCGTGCTATTAGATTTTTATATATAAGATATTAAAAATATCTGTATAAAGAGAGAGTAAACGTAGAAAGCGAAGCCCAATGTACATTTGCAATTTATATTACCAGGAATATTATGTCGTTTTATCAAGAATTACCTATACACACAAACATCCCAAATGTAAGATTAAGTGTGGAAAATGGAGTTCAAATTTACATTTACAATTTACATTACCAGGAATTATCTAGATGCTCAAATAGTCCAGATGTAAGAGTAAGTGTGGAAAATGAAGTTCAATTTACATTTACAATTTATACTAGGAATTATCTCGACGCACAATTAGTCCAAATGTAAGACTTAGTACGGAAAATGGAATTCTATTTACAATTTACATTACAAGGAATTACAAGTGTTTACAAGTATAACAGCCTAAATAATAGTCTAGAGCTAAATCCAAAGAGAGAAGATCGAGGTGTCAGTCAATCAAATCTTTTTAATGTATATATGTGTATATAGCAAGTACCTACTCTACTACAATACAATACTTTTTAAATTGATGCAATATGTTAAATCATTACAACGTCAAAGTCGCCAAAAAACCCTAGAATAAAGGATATTATTAGGATAATATTTTTAATATAAAATGATAATACGGAATGATTTCAAGCAGAAATTGGTCTCACATACCTTCATAATTTGAGTGGCATAATTAGCGCGACCGAAAATGAGTCGGTCTGGTGCCGGACTTAAATAACTTTGTACCTCGTTCGGATATCTCCGCCATTTACCGAGTAAGTCCGAGTGCTTATTTGTAAAGTCGCGTCGCGATGCAGATCGACGGCGTAGCGGTAGTCGCTTCGTAGCATCTGTAGAGCGTGGGTCTACGAAAAGTCTACGAAAATTAATCGTGTTACGTTTCTTCAGTAGAAACACCGTAACTATAAAGATTATGGACTTTTAATGTATATAAGTTTAACGAACATTTTAGTGCAATAATTTCTAATAATTGTATGTGTGATTGGATACTCATTGCAACAGGTAAGTAAAGAAATTATCAGAATATGATATATTTATTGGTTTCCAGTATACATAATAATATTGCAATGTATATAAATGTACGATATTGTTTATTTCGTATTTTTTTAGTATAAATATATTTTTATTAACTTTTTTGAATTATGTTATGAATTGTATGATTTATATAATGAGTGTTTACATTGATACTACAAATTACTATTATTCCTGTTAATTATGTCTCAATATCGTAAGATTAGTAGAAATTCTATTTTATGCATTTTACTTAACGTTTTGTTTTCGAATTAATTATGATCCGAGTGCTACTCGTAATTACTCGTATTTAAGTTTTCTTTCTTATGATTATCTACATCCCTAAGTTATTTTTGGTAATAAATAATATATTTGACAATATATAACATTTTGAAGTATGAGAGATTTTGCGTGTTTTGTATCTTAAGATGTACTGTTGCTTATTATTTTGATTTTTTTAAAAGGCTGTTACTTTGAGACTAAATTATTTGACTAAAATTATATATTTAGTGAAAAGTTAGTTAATTGGCATTTCATATTATCCAAGATCATTTAAATTTTTAATGCGACATTTTTTTTAATTTCTCATACTACTCTTGATCTTGATAGTTGAATGTACTCGTATTGTGTTAGTTTAGGGAATAATTTTTTTTTTGCAGTTTTTTATTCGTATTTCATTGAGAATGTTCAGTTTCTCTAGCGGAACACTCTTTTAAGATGATTATTTAAAGATGATTATGTATTTCTCATTTTGCCGATTATATTATAAGTATCGGATAATACTAATTCTTATTTTCAATTTTACCCTGTAATATATGTACAAATCATGATACCATCATTACCATTTCAGCTCTTAATTGTACACTGTTGACTGTAAGTCTTCCATATAAATTGTCAAGAATCATCTCGAACCAATTATATTTATTCAGTCATTGCAACATATTCGAAGTCGCTCCACCTAGTGGAAAGTTGTTCTCAGGGTTGCCAGAAACAACTTATGTTGAAACCTTTAAATCTATGTACAACCATACGTTTTACAAATACCAACACTGTCAAAAAGATTACCTAAAATTCTTCACGGCTATTACCTTTTTATCTAAACATTTCTTTGGATGTTTCATTTCTCCAATATTTCACGAACAGAATTTTACCCAAAATTACGAAAAAATGCCCAACATGGTAACGCCTGATTATCACAAACTGCGTTTTCTAGTACGAATTCACCACTCGAGAATCTTTTCTTCCCATCAGTTATCAATTCTTTGAAGATGATTCACAATCAGTGTAGTTTGTTATTAATCGAACATTAACGGTATTTTTGGTCCTTCTGCAAATATACTCACTTTGGATTCCATTACTCAGCAAACCACGAGAATGGAATTCTATTATGAGTACAATTATTTTGCATTTTATATTACTACATTTATTACTACTGTGTTTGTTTATACTACTAATTTTTTTTATACATTTACATATATTATTATTTTATAATACTACATTTGAGTATAAGCTACAATTTCTTTTGTCTTCACCATTTATGTCAGATATTCAAAGTTTGACTGGAAGAAATCTTTTTTTTTAGATGAGTCTGCCATTGTGCTCATTATTTTCTTAACCTTTCTTTGCATACTGGTGGAAATTTCCATCATAACATTGAATGCCCAAAAATTACATCAAAGAGCAATTTTACTTTAAGTTGATCGTGTCTGGATACCTTTTTAATGTCCATTGCAGAAAAAAAAAACCATAGCTGTCAAATTTATTTTTTAAACCATTTTTCCTTTAATTCTGAATATGAATTATATCACCTTGATTTATTTTACCAATAAAAAAAAAAAAAACATGCAAAGAAGAGTTAAGAACACTGTATCCTATATTTAAGACTTTACTGTACAATGAAGCGTTACAAACAAACAAACAATTAATTCAATAACTAATTTTCATTTTGTAAACATTGCCTTTTTATTTCGTATTTATAATTGAAAAATAAGGATAGGTTTTTTAATACTATTATGATATTATATCAACTATCAGTGCGATATGAATTAAACATATTTCTGAATACATTAGATACAAAAAATAGTATTTTTGTTAGTAGATAATTGGTGGAATTTAAAGTTTAATGTAATTGCAAGAAATACTTGTAATCCATGAGAATGTCATAAAGTAAAACCGATCAGACGGCTTATTACAAAGTTTTAGAAACTTGACTGGTTTAGACCACGTGACCTCGAACTAGTCTGTTTTGTTTATGATTTAAGCACATATTTGCAGAACATACTAATTAATCTGTATATATTCACATATAACATTATGTTTTAAGTATTGGTAATAAGTTCCTTTGTATTTTATAATAATCACATTTGTTTAACAATGGTAAATAATTTCTCATTGTCGATTGATAGAAGTACTATAGGAGGCTGCTAGCATTGTCTTGCTGGATTGCGATAAAAATGCATAAAGATGTTTCTACCATAATTGAACGTACCTATTTGGAACATAAATAATGTTCGTAAGTATAATATTTTAAAAATATATTGTCGTAATGTGATATTTTGACAAGTTTTTACAAATATGTTCCACTTTAAAAACAATAAAAGCATTTTATTCGGTACTATAAATTCTGACCTTTTGGAATAAGCAAATATCTATTGTTGGCTTTACATACCCTCCGGGTCATATTCTCTAGTATTACGGGCACTTGTGTTAATTAATTAGGCCCTTTGATGCTGCCGCCGGCATCCAGTCCTAACGAGATCTGTACTGAACAATACCTACCTTACTTTTTGTGCTATCTTGTAATTTTAGAGTCTGATATCTGCGGTGGGAATTATTTAAATGCATACGTAGGTTGTTAGAGCTACGTTTCATTATATAAGAACATTACCTTTCTGTGGAATCCATTTCAGAAAAAGTAATTGTCATATGTACATAACATAACATACAGATATATTTTACATTGTTAATTTCAATAATAAATTTTATAACATGAATTTTGTTATGTTTAATCAGATAAACTTGGAGCTTTTTTGTTTCATTATTTTTTAAATATTTGTACAAGTGGTATGTGTATTATGTTAATTTTATATATTATTATTTAATATATTAAAAAAAAAGGTTTTAAGAATATCTAGAAATTTCAAAGTACTTGCCTTAAATTTTATCTAAAAAAATACTCTAACATCTCAATGATTAATGATTCTCGTATTCGCGCATTATCAAGTTACAAGAAATCCTTTTACTAAGACAAAAACAAAATTAATTCACCGCTTGCGATCATTTTTGCGTATCGGCGTTGACGTTAATCGATTAAGCGATGACTTTCAACAAAAAAACTCCCCTCGTTTCTTTGGAAGCCAAGAGCGGTTTGTTGGCAGCATCGATTCGCGTCTACTATTGTTTGCATAACAAAAAACTTGCTTGTAACGTTGTGAACATTAATATAAAATGTCGGCCGCATGTGTCGCTGTCTGTTAATGCGGTTCTCTTTAAATTGACCGGCGAATACCTTGAATTTGTTAACAAATTAAAATAATGTACGTGCATTTATTTATAGTTTTACAGGCTTCAATCTGAAAACCTTGTATATAAGTATGTACCATAAATATAAGTCAATAATTCTAATTAATATATATTAGTGACCGATACTTCTCTGTCAGGAGGGTGGGATTGTTAATAATGGAGACTAAGGACCCAATTGCTAGCAATATACCCAAACAGGTCGACCTCCACGTGACCCCCTTGGAAACCATCGTGCTGAATTCCAAATGTATTCAACTCGATGGGTCATTGGTGGTTCAACTGACCTGTCTTTTCATTTTCACTTATCATCACTCACTGATGCCCGATAGCGCAGACGGGAATACTATTCCATCATCACCCATTAAAAAAAAACTCCTCTGTCAAGGTTTTTCCAAGAAATTACAGAATGAAGTTCTTCAAAAAAGGGGTAGAGGTTTGTTTAGGGTTGGCAACGCGCGTAATGTCCCTAGTATTACAGGCGTTCATGGACTATAGTAACCGCTTACCATCACGTGGGTTGTATACTTGTTTGCCATCTCAGTTGTATGAAAAAACCAACATGAGACTAATTCCTTTTAATTAAAAAAGAAGAAATAATATTGATATTATATAGACGCAATAAAAAGGTACAGTTGGATTTCACATTGATATTTATTACTTCCAATATAAATACTAAAGTAGCATTATTAATAAGTATTATTCTATAATAAGTGGGTATATTGATTGTCACATTCAATTTGATATCGATATTTTAACATTGACGGATTAACATTATCTTGGTGAGCACAATGATAGCAGGCTCACTCGTCATACTCGTCCACGGGCGCTACTTATAGATTACTGGTCTGAGTAACAATACTGTAATTGATCGTAATTTTTATTAATATAAAATTTGTGATAGTGATATGGATACAGAAAAAAGATTAATGTTTTTTCAACAAGTAAGCTCAATTCTTGTTTGAAAAATGCAACAATGTGTTTCTTGTCCATTCTTATCACTTAAAATAGCATTCTGAACTGAGTAGTAGCTTCATAAAAAAATACTTTTCAGTTGATTTTTTTTTTATTTATTTATAGTCATATTTTAAGTGGTATATGTAAATTAATAACATAATTTATAACTATTCCAAGCTAATTATCAGTTATGTTCATATAAAAATCCTTTTTGTCTACACACTTGCATTAATAACCCTAAATAAACAACTACAATTTCAAGAATCCTTTCCAGCTGTTGTTTATGTTAAGTACAATGCAACACCTGCTGTAAAGCTCTGGATCTAAGTAATTTTACACATGGAACTTAAAGGAGCTCATTATCCGGGTACTAAGTGGTACATTGCATTTAGTTGTGGATGAAGTTCAATTTCCTCAGTTTAAATAGCTAAGGGTATTTTATTGTTAAAAATGTCGTATGCATGCATTATAATTAAAAATGAAATGATTTCTAAAATCATCGAAGTGATTTATATGGTCTTTTTTTTGTTGATAATGGTGATCACATTCTGAAGTATCTAGAATCCTCTATAGGAGTAGCTTTGATGAGAAGACAAGATCCAAAAGTAATGGATTATTTTTACAAATAAAGAAACTAAGAGTATAGGTAGACTACTAGAGTATATAAATGTTCCATATATATTATAATAATAAAATGGAATATATTATAATATATATACGAATATTTAGGCTGCAACTGAAAGTCAATGTTTTGCTTTTAGGCAGAACTATCACTGAGCTGTGACCTATTTTAGTCACTGCGATACACATGGCGAAAACATATTTTTTTAGTATTTTCTTTTATCTTTTATGTTATTTCCTTTTATGTAACTCATTTATTAAATGGCAAAAGTTTTGTTAATTTATATGTATTATATATAACTCAAATATAGTGTTTATCTATCTATGTAATACACAAATACATGGTACTGGTCGAAGTGCTTTCAATAATGTCTATGTTGTTGTTTATATTCCATTACAATAATTTTATTTATTTTGGTTAGTTTAAGAATGGCCCATTGTCCAATGTTAGATTCCTGAAATACCTCTATGGCAACGGTCATGTTAGGTTATAGTTCTCGCATAATTCAGTTGACATGATTGGAGTGAACTTTAACTCAAAAAGCAAGGTTTTTACTAAAGATGTAGCCACTTACTGATTAATTTATATTTATTAGTCCGATTTATGGATAGGTTTTTTTTCTGCTTATAAAAAAGTTACGATTAATTTACTTACGTATGTATTTGCTGTACAATCGCGGCTTAAATATGGGCCAAGCCTTCTTTTACTGTGGATGTCGTAAGAGACGGCTAAGGGATCTTAATGGTAGGGGGATGGATAGCAGCCTCATTTTTAAAACATCACCAATAAGCTGAATTGTAGTTGCCAACCCGATTGTCAAACATGGCGACTATTGGCAAAACCCTCATTACGGAAGAGGCCTATATTCCGGAGTAGACAGTAAACGGCTGCATTGATGATATGATAATGTATTTATCTAACAACGTAAATAACGGAATCCAAACAAACCGATCTAAATATGGAAAGTATTAAAATGGGAGACTTTTATGCTTTTATTATTGAAAGAAGTTAAAATAGTTTCTTTCAATAATAAAAGTCTCCCTTCGTAATATGAAACTAATATAGAAGTAGTTAGTTGGCGATGTTGAGAAAGTTTAATAATAAAGTTAACGTTATATAAGGGTTGCTTTTTCTTAACAGAAATCGCGCCTTGTGCATTATGTATTATAATTTTGAAAAATATATTTCTTTTATGAAGAAAAGGAAACTATATTAATTGTATCAGTATTAAATATGTTTTTTTTTGCGTGGTTTAAATTATTAAACCTATACTTATTTCTGGGGAAAGTAGTTTATTTTCATAAACATACTTTGAGTATTCAATATGTAACAATTGTACCCGCTCATGTTATTCCTTATTATTATGAAAGCTACGTAGTGACACTTTGTTACAAATGCCAGCTACATATGCCACCGCTTGTCTGCGAGACGCATAATGCATGCTGCCTTCCTGACAATTTGTCTCCTGCAATTATAGAATACAACAGCTATACAAATTTTTATATTAAGGTATACAATATCAAAATTTTAATAAAGTAATATTACTTATACAACAATACCCGATGCAAAGCATTTTTATCAGACCATCGCAACGAGCCTCATCGAGGTACTGTTGATCCAACAGTTGGTAGCTACTTTCCTCAAAAGATAAGTAGCAATCCAAAGAGGTAATGCTAGCGGTGCTCTGCCTCGTTGTGGTGCGTTGGAAGACTGTTTAAAATTAGTTGTTAGTAATATTATTTTAAAAATGTATAAATTTTAATTATTATATGAGGGTTAATTTATAGAATTAATAATGGTAATAAGCTCCTACCAACATTTCTTGATTTTAAAAATGTCTATTTTATTCATAATAAAAAGTAATAAAACGTAATTTGAGTTAGACTAATAAAAATAATTATTTATTGTAAATAGGTAAACTAAAATGAGAAAAAAAGTAGATAATTGAAACAGCAACATATTTATTACGACTCAAAAATACTTTAAAAGTAACTAACGAAATTTATTACAATACGATATTTACTGTTGTTTTATAAGTATAATTTATATTTTTATACTATTGAAGATCTCTAACAATATCACGCCTTACATGGAAAGAGACAATTATTGTTTATAATAAAACCGTTCAGGTGCGAGCTAAACTCACACGGCGAGGGTTCCATGTATACTAATATAAGTATACATGCAAAATTATCTTTATTGCATTACTCATACGAATTAGACACCTTATTGTTATTATTATTGATATTACAATTAACTAAGTTTGTTTTTGGAAGTTTTTGGACAATTATTCAAAAACGGTGCTACTTAGAAACTTTGTTTTATTTTTTTCTGTAATATGCCTTAATAAACTGTAATTATTTTAGATATTTTACTTCACAAATTTCGGAACTGTCCCTCATTTCCGAAATTGGATAGTGTTTTTGTTTTATTTATTTATTTTATTCATACTTTACTATACCCACTAATAATAAATAAAGAAATATGACAGTATAAAGCAAAGTTCTGTTTGAACGAACCCTTTTTCTCATATTTTCGATCACATGTAAAAAACCACGCAGCAAAAAATAAATAAAAATTTGGTTAAATAAAGAAAAATCAATTTACTTCCATAGAGGATATTTTTGGTATCAAATTAGATGATGGACAATTCTAAATATGATTAACTACTTACACTTGGTTATTGAACTTTGTATATTTCTGGTGTCCCAGATTAATGTGTATCAGTAGCTTATATTGCCTTTTATTTTGTTATCAATATTTTCATAAATGTTAAAGTTAATTCTGATAAAAGAGAAAGTAAACGGTTTCTAGAATTGGCTCAAGTGAGAATTACGAGAAATAATTTCAATATCTGCCCGATTATTGTGAAATAATGAAGCTGGTAAATGGGTTGTCGTTAGGTTTGTCTTAATATTTAATTCTAAATAATGACAGTACAATATAAATACGAGTAAATGGTAGCTAGAAACTGTCATCTTTTTCGAATTTTAACAGTAGATTTTCTACAGATTTCTATTTTTGTTCTTTTTCCTATCATTTCTATTTTAGACTATAAAAAAATACTATAAAACTTCTCCTCTAAGTTTATTGTATTGGTGCCATGCAATACTTTAAAACCTAGAAGTGCAGTAAAGTTGTGTTGGGTACTACACGTAATACAAAGTGTGATAAAATGCTTGTACTTTTTATTACACTCTAAAACAATATTATAGTTATTTGTAAACATACATTGTATTTATACTGCTCGTAAAAAAGACTTTACACGTAATATTAATACCTACTTGTTGATTTAGTGGTAATTCACGATGAGTATACCTATAAACCACTTTGAACACTTCCACAAAATTAATTTTAATTGTAACATGACCGTTTTAACCCTGAGGCATTATTAAGAGTTCATTTACACATTTCAGAGTGTGCTTCTCGACTTCTAATCGTATACATGTAAAGTTATTATTAAAAAATGTTATGTATCAGAATACTATACTAATTGCTTAGTCCTGAAATAGATTGTACTGCCACTAAGTACAATACAACGTGGAATCAGTACTTGTTTTCATACATACAATTTATAGTGATCCTAATTATTTAGTATCAACATAGATTTCAATTCGCCTGTATATTTTATATATGTTACATCTAAAAATTTTTTTTTGATCAAATCTAGACCAATTTACTAATCTTTATTTATTATTTTCGAGAGAAAATTGGAAGGCAAAATTTCAAAATATCAGTGGCAAGTTGCAGACTCAATTCATAACAAAGCTTATTTGTTCACAGATCCCAGGAAAATGAAAGGAAATGAATCTAAAAGTGAGGGACCTGTATAGCAACTTACCGACGATATTAAGGCTGAACACGATGAAATTGATGAACGTGAAATAGATTGTGCTAGTGGCAGATGTAAATTGATTAACGATGGTACGAAAATTAGTGTGCGTGCTGACCGCAGTGCTAGCGCTGAAAATAATTGGCGCTTCGCTGCTGATGTGTCCAAGTGACCCTAACTGCGTTTGCGGCGGCACGCTCGCTATCGAACTCAATTGCAATATCGACGGTGAGTGCACCTAAATATTCACACCCTGTGACTACCTTTTACAGTTCCCCAAAATTGTTATAAATACAAAATCGCAGTATCTGCATTTTTATTTCCATTAATTGGAAAAGTTTCGTTTATACGCTAACATGTTAAAAAATCTCATTTTGATCTCAAATCTTATTAGGAATCAGCTAAGTAGTATGTGTGATATATTAACGTTATTTTTTAATTTCAGATCGAATCGTAAAAATCAACTTACTACCAAATACCTACATTAATATAAAATGTGAGAATACTACTAGTCTTGACTACAAGAAATTACCTAAATGTGCCAATAATATGAATTCATTCAAGTCAGTGAGTTTTAAAGACTGCCCATTACCTGCATCTTCATTTAAAGATGTTTTAACAAATATGGGAATATCCAAGACAATGGCGTTAATTTTCCAGAACGCGAAAAATCTTTCCGGTTACTTTGTTAGGAAACATTTTGAAGGATTACAAGACCTAACAAAATTATTATTGTCCTTCAATGGAATAACTCAATTACCAGATAACTTGTTTATGGATATAAATAAACTTACATGGTTAAATATAAGATCGAACAGTATTAATCTTTCTGAAGAGTTATTTAAACCTCTCGAAAGATTAGAGACTTTAGAGATTAGTCATAATCACATGACCAATATAACTTCAAATTTATTTTCACATTTAACTTTCTTGAGGAAGCTTTCATTATGGCAAAGCAACGTCACATGGTTCTCTAAAGATTTATTTACTGGAGTTGATGTGTTAGAAGAATTAGATTTAAGTTCAAACGGACTCAATGAACTTCCATGGTCAATATTCAAGCCCTTGAAGAAATTGAAGAAACTGACATTATTCTCAAATAAATTTTCAGCGTTGCCACAGAATTTGTTCAAATACAATAACGAGTTGGAAACAGTCGTTATTCTGAACAATGACGTAAAGCTAAAAGAGCTTCCGAAGTATTTATTTGGAAACTTACAGAATTTAAAGCAAATATATATACAGAGGTGTGGGTTGGAAAGTCTACCTTACGATGTTTTTGCGAATTCACCACAAATTACAAACATATCACTAGCATATAATGACATCACAAGATTGCCTGAATCTATTTTCAATGATCAAATAAATTTACTAGATTTAGATCTGAGTCATAATAAACTTGACTCTCTAGAAACGAAAATTTTTTCATCACTTGTAAGATTGGAGAGTCTTAATTTATGTCATAATCAATTAGTAGAAATTCATGGGTAAGAAATTATTTATATTTGTCAAGAAAATATATAATTATGTCTACTAAAATTTTTTAATGTTCAATCAATTTTTCACAGGCCTACATTTTCATCTCTACTGAGCTTAATATATTTAAATATGGAGAACAATAAGTTAAATACAATTTCATCTTATTTATTCAGCAACAATAAACAGAGAATGTCAATATCATTGGCATATAATCAACTAGATTTTGAACATAAAGAATTGAAACATAATAAATGGATAATAAAAAAAGAATCGCCTTTTGCTCATACTTATAATTTAAGATTATTGAATTTAAGTCACAACGAATTCAAAACTGTTTTTGTTGACTGGTGGATAAATGGACATGAAATTTTGGATATTAGTCATAATTACATAAAAACATTGTGGGTAAGTAAATATTATATACCTTATATTAAACATAAATAAATTAAAGAGTTTCAAATGTGTTTAAAATATAGATATTGTACTATGTGAAATTGATTCTCTACGAAAATCGTCTAAAGCCACTTTAAACAAATATAAGTATGCGATTTATTAAATAGGTTTCTCATAGTTAGTATTTTGATGACAAATAACGATGTGAAAATAGGATCCCTAAAAATATTTACTTAATTATAAATCTTCATTTAGATGTTATCCTCTGAATTATCCACTTTTATAAATTTATTGAAAATAATTAGCCTTTAGTCAATGTTCAATGAAGTGATCTACGGATTTAATTAATTTTTATGCCGTCCACTTTAATTAAACGCTGACAAAATTGTTGTTTTAATAAATATAAAAGATCGAAATGTATTAAAAATAATGGATGTTTTTTTTTATTTCAGAATGAAGAAAAGTCATCACCAGTATCAAACTCTAAAAACGAATATAAAGACTTTCTAAAGAAACCTTTAAAAGAAGTATGGATCGCTCACAATTCTTTGGACTGTGAATGTAGAAATTTCCATTTTATTGACTTTATCAAGGAGAATTCTAAAACAAAGGTACATATTTATATGACTCCGATTAGATCACTAATAACTCCTTTATATACTCCTATATATAATCACTGATCATTATATTTTTTACAGATACCGGATTTGGAAAACTTTAAATGTCCCTTATGGTCAAAAGAATCTTGTTATATGAGATTTGTAGTATTCATTTCTCTTATAATTTCCTTAGTATCAGTCTACATGGTTATGATAATTTTATTCGTGGTCTATAGAAAACAAATTAATATGATGGTAAAAAAGAAACTATGCGAAAGGAAAAATAATAAAACACATATGCCATCAAATGAAAATTTATCTGCGGAGAAGAGTAAAAATATTATTGTGAAGTATTGTGATGACGATGAAGAATTCATTTTAAAGGAAATGGTTCCAGGGTTGAGATGTCACAACTTAAAGTTGCATATGAACCCAATAAAGTTCCCAAACAATACACAGAATTTTATGAAGAACCTGACACTGTGTATTAAGGATACACATAAATATACAACTCTTGTAGTATTTTCTCCGAACTACTTAACGTCAACTTACAGTCACGTCAATATAAAGAAAATTCACGGAGAAATGTTGAAAGCGGAAAACACATTTTATGTTTTCGTTGATATTGGCCCAGAAAACTCTATATACGCATTCTTGAAAGAACAACGGAACGAGCGCACGTCAGTCGTGTGGAGTGAAGTTGATTTTTGGAATAAAATTCTAAGCATGCTTAGTGGGAATCAGAAGAAAAAGGTCGGTGTGGTCACCAAGAAGGCAGTTGATTCGAGAACAAAGTCGAAAATGTTCAAGTCTACCAAGACTAAGTTGCCATCAAATATTTCCTTCTCTAAATTGCCCGACTGGTCTCCTTTGTACAATATTAATCCTTTTTCGCACAGTCATGTTTAGTTATACTCTATATTTTTAATTTAGTGAGGCAAAGACTGACTTCTCACCCACGGTACGTAGTATATCTCACTTAATTTAAACTAATATGAAGTGTACAATTGTCATTATTTTAAAATGTACATTTAAATAGCTCAAACAATACTTTAAAAATTTGCACGCCTTCACAGAAGCAGAATGTATAAGGGCAATGTATATCATTATCACCTAAAAATTACCTACATTCTGACAAAATAAAAAAAATGTTTATTTCGAACCTTAATTATACGTAATAATTACGCTTTCTTTAACAGTTGTTTATCTTTTTGTATTTAGATAGATATAAAATAATGTTTAAATGTAAGTTTTGAGAAACAACTTGTAAAATTTTTACTCATATATTTTAACATGTAAAAAATAGGTTAAGTATATTTCATTGTTTGTAAAAATGGTAGTTAACACATTTTATGTAATTCGTTGTTCTGTGGGTAAACCTACTTATAATTTTGATCATTTGAACTTCAAAGAAGTCAATGTAATGTCATTTATGTGCATAATATAACCAATTGTATAATCCCTTTTGTTGATTTAATGTACATGTACATATTATTCTTAAAATATTAATACAAACCAATTAAGTTTCATGGAAACTGCATGTTGTTAAGAGTTGTAAACCGCAGCTTATAATAAAACGTATACTTTAACAAAGATTTTTTTTATTTGATCCTAATTATTTATTTTATTGAAGATAAAATGAAATAGTCACAATAATAGTAACCTTATGATATAATACAGATTTTAAATAGTACTGTTTATTTACACTCTCTAATATAATTTATGGAGTTTTACAGATCATGCTCACTTTTCTGATTCATAAAAAAAGTTATTACGTTTTAATCATTTTAAGTTATTATAAAGAACATTTAATGTGATGGCTTATGGTCTGACATGGATTTACGTTGACAAATATACAGTGCTGAAAACAGGTTAAGTACATAGTGATCGTTATCTCTCCCTTACATAAATCGATTGATGAAAGGTATCTATCTATTTTAAACATATGGCAATGTATAGTTTCTCCCCACACTAATGAAGACAATCGTAAAGTAAAATTTTAAACCTTATTATTACATTGCATCGCACAAAATTTAATAGAAAACAACTGCAAAAATATATAAAAAAAAAAAAAATTATCTTTTGTGGCCATAAAAATATTATTGCGATTTTGTCTCGTGCCATATAAATATAAAATTAAAAATAAAAAACATATAAAATATGTAAAGACAAGTAACTGTATATTCTTTCAAAAAACAACGTATCTAAATATATTTTTATTATTATGTTTTAGGATTTTAAACTAAATAATTATGAGTGTATAGCATTTTAATAAGTGTCAGAGTACGAATATAAATTAATATTAACAAAAGAAAAAAATCATAAAATCTCACGTATTTGACAGCTATTTAACACTTTTCACTTGTCATTTCTGTAATTAATGTCAATCAAAATGACATTGATATTTCTCCATGATTTTGTATTTCAAATATTTAATTTGAATATATTTTGTTCCTGTAAGTAAAGAAAAAACTCCAGGAAAAGATATTGGATTAAATTCGAATATATCCAGAAAGAACTTTTTTTGTACTTGTTGCATATTGTAGAATACATATACCTATATACTTTAAATACACTATCGAAACTTAACGCGATAATAAATTTGTAGGTAGGCGCATACCTGCTTCTTTATTGCTGACTTTTCGTCGTGGATTGCACCACGTCGTGGTCACGACATGATATTTGTAGTAGTGTCGTAGGTACTATTTACCTGCAATTTTTTTATTGCATTAAGTCTCGATCAACATCATCATCATCTCATCTATTATTTGTCCATTGCCAAATATAGGCCTCCTCATACACAAACTGCTATAAGGAACGGTCCTAAGCCACCTGTATTCACTGACTCCCTGCAATGTATTTGAGGCCGTCACTCCATCTAGTGAGGGGTCGTCTTATATTGCGTTTGCTCATACAGAGTCGCCACTTAAGAAACTTTCTTGCTCATCGATTGTCGATTCTTCGGACTATGTAACCAGCTCACTGCCACTTCAGTTTGCTTATTCTTCGGGCTATGTCGATTACTTCGATTCCTTTGCGGATATTCTCGTTTCGGATTATAATACGCAAAGAAACTTTGAACATATCCTTTTCCATAACCCGCTGAGTAATTTGAAGCTTTTTGCATACGGGAAACCGTTTAGGACCATATTTCGGTTTCATAGGTCATCACTGGCAGCATACACTGATTAAAACTCTTCGTCTTCCAACTTTGAGGTATTTTGGATGAAAAGACGTGGCGTAGTTTTCCGAACACTGCCCAGTCTAACTACTACTAATTTTAAATACATTAGTGTAGAGGGTCACAGTGAAAAATAATATTCTTTAGGACAACAATATATATAATACGTGTAGATACAAGACAAGATAACCATTTGAATAGAAACAAAAACCGTGTAGAAAAATAACATTAACATATATATGTGGCCAGACTTAAATTTACATCATGGCCACAAAGAAGTTTCAATAATTAGTAGTACTTAAAATATCTGTAAACAATGCGAAAGTTTATAATTAACTAATACATAAATATATAAATAACAAAATCTCTTAATAATAATAAAATATTTTGTCTGTTACATACGTACACACGTATACATATGTGATGTTGTTTTTCTATTTCGATATTGTTTTATATCGTGCATGAATGAAACTGTGAGCACTTTGACTGCATGTCAATCAAAAACAGAAAATAAAAATGTCTGTTGTCAGATTGTCTATTGTGAGTTTGTTAGAGAGAACATCCCTTTTCAGTTTATCAACCGGTGGCCATATTTTTTTGTAAGCATTTAGTACTGAAACATTGCTGATATATTTCTATGTAACTGTCATGAATTTTATTATTTATTCCAAGTACTTATATTTATGTTTCAGATCTACAATAAATATAACCTGGTGATTACAGTTTTTATTTCAGTTGTTTAACCACCGTTGCTGTTATGCTGTTTCTGTTGTAGTATAATACCGTTAATTGTCTTATTTTTTTTTATATTACACAGCACCATTTAGTCTATACGAATTTTAGACAACTGATAGTAAAACAGCGTTTTTAAAATTCCCGTAACGTGTCCTTTCATCTTATAATCTGCGATCCTCCAAACGTAGCGTGAAAATACATTTAGTGCGCCGGCATAGTGCGTTCAACCGTTGAGAGTAGAATGGTTCTTTTCGGCTGATCGCATTCATGGACCATGTATAGTTCCTGTGTTCGTAGACGATGGTGTATTTCGATTCAATGGTATTATATAATAATAATAATTATTATTATTTACTAAATAGTTTATCACTAAAAACGAGTACTTAATTTTGCATATAAATTTTCCAAATTATTTTTTACCATCAAAATTTAAAATTTCAGTTAAATATAAATTAAATAATAAAAATCTTATTGTATAATTAGAGTTAAAGTACTTTTCAACTAATTAAGCAATATTAAAAAATATTTGATAGATAATAGAAACTTCGTTTTTACTTATATATATATTTTGTGTTACAGACGATTGTGAAAACATTAATAAAAACGTGAATTTCTTTTGATTGATTTGAATTATGTTTTCTTCTTTTCGTGGATGTAAAAGCCGCATATATAAATATCGTTACAATCTTAATGTACCACAAATGAGAGATAAATGTATTTTAAATACAAAGTACCACATTAGATAAAAAGTCCCCTATAACTAATGTAAATCGCTTGCAAATGGAGAGTGAGTCATTTTCCTTGTGGATTTTCCGATACTTAACCACCCTAATGTAGATATATGTACGTACCTGTATAGATTAAAATAATTACTGTACGTAGAACATAAATGAGACTTGTCAGAAAATTTATCTACAGTTTCATATTACCGCCAGTTTTAGAGAATAATTAAGATTGTATGTTCACAAAAGAAACAGACTTTAATTATATTTAAACCAGAGTTATTTTGATTTAAAAAGTAAACTACTGCATCTATTTTGATAAAAAATTATGAGACTAATCTGTATATGATATTACATTACACATTAGTTTCATAAAATTTTTAAATCAAAAAAGAAATGTATATGGAAATTTCTTTTTTGATTTAAAAATTTACTTGATTTAAAGGTTTTGAATTGGCGGCGTTTAGGAGGTAACAAATAAAAAAAAAATACAACCGAATTGAGATGACGAACGTACACCAAATATAAAGATTATATTAATATATTTTGAAAGAAAAATTAATTACATAGGAATTACATACAATTATTACAATACTTTGTAATTAATTATTCCATAAAATTTATTGTATATTTAGATATTAGAATTATAATATAGAAAAAAAAATTCTCTTACCCATGGAACAATTTATATTACATAAAGTTTTACTATTCAGTCGCGCACCCTCTCGGTACGTGCAAAATTGTATCGAGCTACAAGGGACGAAAGACAACGGGGTGAAAAACCCAATACTACGCAATTACTTATACATCACATCTGCAATAAAACCAGTTCATGGCAAAAAGTCGTATATATATTTTACTAGCTGTTACCCGCAGTTTTACCTACGTACATCAATATACATAATATAGTACTCTATGTATTATGTTAGGATCTTTAATAGCATAAATTTAGGAAATATGAGTTGATTAATATGATATATTAGTATATATGTACGTTATTTTTAAATTACTGTTTTAATTTAATATTGTTTTTGTTTTTCTATTTCTTTGCTCGTCACGTTGCACCGTCAATTATAATTTCTGTTATTTCGGTCTACAGTCGACTGACAGATAATGCCATATGCCATCATTTACACTGAGTGTATTAAAGTTTAATAAATAAATAAATAGAATGTGTCCATACAAATGTTTCACCAAAAACAGGTCGACTTTAATCCATGTTTGAGTGATTAAAGTTACCATAATATACATTTACTAATTCAATATATGAGAGAAATTATATTGTAAGGTTAAGTTGAAAAATAAAAAAGAAACACAATTATTACGAATACATTCAAAATAACAAAATAAACAGAGTATAATGAATCGTACTTATGCTTATCTTTACTGACTACTTTAATTTTAATATATATGAAGTTTCAAAATAATTGAAAATGCCCGCCATTTTATTATTATATATGTATATATAGATTTATTCAGAAGATTAAATATGATCGAATAATTAACACCCTATCACATTTATAATATTAGTACTATAAATAATCAATAATAATAAAAATATAAGGAACTATCAACTATTGTCAAAAAGGTGGATTTCATATAAAAATATACTGTAACGCTCATGTTTTGCTACTTGTAAGGATTAGGTATTATGTTAATATTCTGTAATTTTACTACCATATTTCACTCTTCATATCAAAACACTAATTGAAGCACAGATACTCGGCGAAAATTCGAGTGGGATATTGATAACCACGCAGACGATCTCTGTACAAACTATCCAGCTGGTAAATAAATAAATGTACAATTTACTACTATTATAAACACGAAAGAGTGTCAGTGTGTGTGCAAAAACTACTGAATGCATTTAAAATGTAGCACGCTTCAGATTATATAGTATCTTGTCATATAGGATACCGTACCTATATATTGATACGGACGAAACTG